TGCGCTCCGTCGAGTCGGAAGACGGCATCATCTAGCACGCCGCTCGGGTCGTCTTCTCAAAGATCGAACAGCGGGCTGGCTCCGTCGCCTCGCGAGGCGACAGCTGCTCCGTCTCCGAGCTTGACGAAGATTTTATAAAAGCGGCGATGAAGGGCGGGGTCAAGAGACCCGTTATCGTGCCCTAAGCGGCGCGCAAGTGGAGTGGAAAGCGGGGAGCTAGGCATCGGCCGGCACATGGGCAGGTGGGCTCACGCGCCGGAAAACAGCAAGGGCGGCCACGGAGGAATCACGAAAACAAAGCGTAAGCGGCCAGCGACCCTTGTCCACGGTGGAATCACAAAAAAGCAGGCCTTGGCCACAAAGGTGGAATCAGCAAAACAGCAGCACGGCGGGGAGCCAGTAGATAAGGTCAATCCGTCTATGCCCATGCTCTTTCTCCAATGGGCCGTCCCAATCCTGATCATTCTGCTGCTGATCGCTGCCCTCATAAAATTGGAGCTTCGGCCTTGTTTAGCTGGCGAATATTTTTGGAAATAGTACTGTAACACTTTTGTGGTTATTTGGCAATTAATGTCCAATCATAGTCTAATTAGGCTTAAAAGATTCGTCTCGTGAATTTCGTCTAAACTGTGTAATTAGTTTTATTTTTTATTTATATTTAATGCTTCATGCATGCGTCCAAAGATTCGATGTGACGGGGAATCTTGAAAAATTTTGCAAAATTTTGGGAACTAAACAGGCACTTGGTTGTTCTGCCAGCGATCTGAATATATTTGATCAAACCTGCCGCTGCCGCCATGCATCAGAGCCCATCTCAGGGTGTGTTTAGTTCGCGAAATGAAAAAATTTTATGTCACATCGCATGTTTCGAGGATGTCGGAATGGGTTTTCGGATACTAATAAAAAAATAATTACATAGCTCGTCTGGAAACTGCGAGACTAATTTATTAAGCCTAAGTAATCCATCATTAGCGCAGGTTAGTACTGTAGCACTTATGGCTAATCATGGACTAATTAGTCTTAAAACATTCGTCTCGCGATTTTCAACTAAATTGTGCAATTAGTTTTTTTTTGTCTATATTTAATACCCCATGCATATGCCGCAAGATTCGATGTGATAGTTTGGGGTGAAAATTTTTTGGAACTAAACCAGGACTCATTCCGCCACTGCCTTGGGCAGGTACGCACCGACTATGCAATTTCTTTGTTTCTCGCGGCTTTCCGCGGATCTGTCCATGGGTGCACACCTCCATCCGGATGATCCCCAACTCTCGTGTTCCCTGTGACGCTTTGACGCTTTGCCGGCTTGGTTGCTTGGGCGGATGTTTTGCTGCCGTGTTGCTCGGGCGGATGCTTCGCCGGCGTGGTTGCTTGGGCGGATGCTTTACCACTGTGTTGCTTGGGCGGATACTTTGCCGCCGTGCTCTCGTCTCCTCTCGGTGGATGCTTTGCCACCGTGGCTTCATCTCCTATGCTGGCAACCTTGCGATGATGTATTTTTTCTTGCAGGTTCAGTCAGTTAGGTTTGTGGTGGGGGCTTCTCCCTACCGTCTTTATTTCTTTTTTATGTCATTGGGACTGCGGCGATAATCCTTGGATTACTTGCGGGCCCTTGTAATGTTTTTGTCGGTGTTTCTCTAGTCCTCTTAATAAAATACGTGCTAAGGCACGGTGGCGATTTTTTTTTTTTGGATCGCGTCATCTAGTTTTAACTATTCTTGTTCCCTTGTTTGAGAGCCATTGTCATTTTGATTTTGGGCAACGTTGTGGTCATCGGTTTTTTAGGGAAAATGACGGCGGTGATTTTTCGGGAGGGTCACGGATCGCAGGCACGCGGTGATTTGCCGGCAGGGTCGCGGATCGCATGGCACGCGTGATTAGCCGGGTGGACTTTCGCAAGGGGAGGTGAGGTGAAAGCCGGGTGGATGATTCCCCTCCATAATTTTTAGTCGTAGATAGAGATAAGTCATTGACAAACCTTTTCAATTGCATCTCCTGGAGGTGAAGAATCCCACATACATCCGTTTGTCTTATAGGAATTCTATAAACCCATATCGATGGTGAGGCTCAGGAAACCAGGAAAACAGATGTTGAAACCTTAGGAGCAGTGACCTGTTCGTCCAGGATAGCGAAAGAGAAATTCCTCCTAATGAAATGTAGTTCTGTTTAAGAATCAAAACGCAAAAGAAAAAAAAAGGTGACTGGTAGGCATCAATTTTCACTGAAATAAAAATACCTTCAAATCTCTCTCAAAGAACCTCAATTTATAAATCGTGACATGTTATCTCTGTCAACGATTCCATCTCCTGAACGCGAGATAGCATAAATCCGTGGATAAGAGAACATTCTTGTTGACTGATGAGTCGGATTGGTTGACATCCCAAGATCCATCTTTATGCTGGTTATGAAATATCTACTCGACAGATTCTGGGAACCCAAACTACCGGCGAGTTTTCCAGCGAATGGACGGCATTACCTTGGTCTCTCCCACGGCGCGACACCTAGTCACCAGATCTGCAGGCGGGGCCAGCCGGATGAAGGCACCAGAAGTACGTGGTCGACGTCGCCGGTGCCGCGGTCAAGGCCAAGGGAATGGCGTCCATTGGCGGCGCCTTCAAGGTCGTCCCGCTCCAGTCCTCGCTGCCGCCCATCGAGGTCCGGCCACCTCCTCCTACCGGGCTGTACCGGATGGGTTTCTAACCTGAGGAGATCGCAGGGCCCGGGCGCGGCGTGGCAGTGGGCATGCGACGGGAGACCAGGACGCCGTGATTTGAGGAGAGAGTCCGGCGTGCGAGGAGCGGGGGCGGGATCGCGGGCGCGGGCAGAGCTACCGGTAGGATGGGCTTCCCTTATTTACAGAGGAGCCGAGGCGAGGCCGGGCGGAGCGAACGCGCCAATCACGGATTCACGGGGCCGAGGATAGCCGGGTCAGGATGGCATGGCAAGAGCGGGAGACGGGACCGGGCAGACGGCCTTTTAGGGCAGTCCCAATGAAACAAACGAGCAGTTTCTATAACATAGGATACTGCATAAAAAAGTACTACTTTTTAACATATGGTTTCTATGAGTAATAATTATTTTCCCCTTCTCTCTCAACTATATCTTCTTTCTCTAATGGGAGTGTGACACGAGCTCCCTAGATACTGGTGGTTTCTCCCCAATGACGATTTTATGGTTTCTTGGTGTATTGGACCAAGAGTAGACCTGATTTCTTCATGAGGAAACCATTTCTATGATTTTTGCTCTCTTTCTTCATTAATTACGTTGCCATGTCAGCGTTTTGCCTACATGGCAAGTCATTTAATGAGGATAGAAAACATCATTAATACACCATTTGGACTGCCCTTAGGAGTAGAGAAGTAGAGATAAAGGGTTGGGTAAACCAAGATAGTTAAAACTAGATCAAGCCTTTTTTTTTCTATCGTGACCCATCTATTTGGCCGCCAACCGATTCAATCTCCATCCAGTTCTGCATTTTCCTGATTTCTTGTGATTACATTACTTCAAAAGAATTATGCACGTGTGATTCGGTAGTGCAACAGCTAATCAAAATGGTGATTCGTTTTTATCCGTTCGTGTGCGCATGTTTTCCATGGATGTTCGTGACTTCAACCTGGGTCTCTGTGAATGTATATGTGGAAATTACAAGGTAGGGACGTAGGGTTAAAGAAACGAAGAGCAAGCCTTTTGATGGATGATGCCTTCCCCATCCTATGTAGACTTGGAGAGGATGGCAGGATGGTCCTCGCAACTCGCAAGGTTCGGGGCTTCGGGCACAGATCAGCGCTCAGCGGCCATGCTCTCCGCTGAGGCACAGCGACGACCGCCTCTTGTTGACCTCGTTCCAGGTCTCGGTGTGGGTTTGTTCTTTCATAAGCTGATGTTGGAGTACTTTACCTCATTTGAAAATCATACAGCGACTAAGCGAGTTGCAAAACCAAATAAAAAGCTGACGCACTGTAACAGAACCAACCAAAGAAAAGTGGAAATAAGAAAGGGCAGGCCACAGACAAACAACACTGGCAATGTATGGCTTAGCGGTTGCGCAAACTATTCTGGTGCTCTGTGAAACATGCGTCAGGTTATCTGATAAACCAACCAAAGAACAGCAGAAATAACAAAGGACATGCCATAATTCAGGCCAACGGCACTGGCAATGTATAACGATTGGCGAAACTATTCTGGTCATCGTATATTGAGAAGACTCTAATATCATATTACGAGGCAGTCCGCAATCTTGACATCTTTCAGCTACCCAGCATCAGATTCCCAGGTCCGTCTTACTTCATGCAATAGAAAACGTTAGGGGCATTTTGTAGATTAACAGCAGTAGAAGCAAAGTCTTATGGCCCCGTTTGTTTCCGCTTATAAGCGGCTTGTCGGTGGAAATAAGTGAGAATCCCGCCAAACGCTTTGCTTATTTCCACCGATTCTCGGTTATGTGGTAAGCTGCTTCAGAGATTTAAACTACGAGAAGCAAAAAAACGAGAAGCGAGAAAATCTTCGCTTAGATTATAATCCAAGCGTGGCTAGGAGAAGTGGAAACAAACGGGCCCTATGTCCCAACTCCCAAGCAAGTTGGGATAGGGATCAAAATATAAGGCAGCGACGAAAAGGTAAAAACTTATGAAAATAAAGGTTGTAGGTGAGCAGTGCTAGAGATATAATGAGATGACATGTAAATCTAAGATCTTACCCCCTTTGAAGTGAATCCATGAAGATGCACTTAGTTCCTTGGCCTGGATCCTTGCTGAGGCTTGTCTATCTTTCTCTGCAGAAAGTATGATTACCATATCGACACGACGGTCGAGCAAGTTGAATGGGCATATGCCATCGTACACAATAAGCACAGATCCATTTTTTTCGTCTCTGAAGATTCAGTGCATAATACAGACCAAGGACCCTGACGAGTCAGAACATAATTTCCAATGATTTCCTCCAGATCTCTACGGACTTCCTCTGGCTTACTCTCAGCATCGTGCACATCAAGATATATCCTACTAGCATTCAAGGCTCTGCTTAAATTCAGGAGGGCGCTGATTTTTTTTATCTGGTGCAACTTCCACATAGTACTTCTGTGCTCTTATCTCTCCATGAGCCGGCTTCCCTGGGACTGGCTTCCTGCAACACAACATAAATTATTACATGATGATTTCATAGGAAAAGATTAAGACAAATTAGAAGAAGTCACAATATCAGTCAGTAAGAAATTATTACATGATTTAATAGGAAAAGAACCAAAGAAATTTGAACTAGTCAAAATAACTGTCAAAATCATACCGGCATTTAGAATTTTCTGCGTCTTTTGAGTGAGAGTGAGCCTAAAAATTGGTAGTCCATTTAGCTAGTATGCCCACTCTTCAGCTGATTTCTTCTGAAACCTTGGATGCTTTAGGGCAGTCTTCCTGAGCATATGCCTCGCGAGGTTATGACTTTCTCAGATGGGATGCTTAGGAGGCGCTGATAAAAAAATCAGTCCAGAGATCCGAAATCTAGGTGAGGAAATCATTGAAATTCCGTCAGGAAATCATTGGAAATTCTTCGAGAGACTCGAAAAATGGATCCGTGCTTATTGTGTGCGATGGCATATGCCCATTCAACATGCTCGACCGTCGTGTCGATATGGTAATCATACTTTCTGCAGAGAAAGATAGACAAGCCTTAGCAAGGATTCAGGCCAAGGAACTAAGTGCATCTTTATGGATTCACTTCAAAGGGGGTAAGATCTTAGATTTACATGTCATCTCATTATATCTCTAGCACTGCTCACCTACAACCTTTATTTTCGTAAGCTTTTACCTTTTCGTCGCTGCCTTATATTTTGATATCTACCCCAACTTGCTTGGGAGTTGGGACATAAGACTTTGCTTCTGTTGCTGTTAATCTACAAAATGCCCTAACGTTTTCTATTGCATGCAGTTTTGCCCCCCCATAAGACTTTGCTTCATTGCTTGTTAATCTACAAAATGCCCTAACGTTTTCTATTGCATGCAGCCTCCCCCCCCCCCCATAAGACTTTGCTTCGTCATTTTTAATCTACAAAATGGCCTAACGTTTTCTATTGCATGCAGTTTGCCCCAGTAGAGCTTGTGCGCCGTAAGACGGACCTGGGAATCTGATGCTGGGTAGCTGAAAGATGTCAAGACTCTGTGCCTGACAGAATCCCCCAGACAGTTCTACTGTCAGTCCAGAGAACAAAGTGCTCAAGCTTGAGCTCCTTGGCCTTGTTCAATAATGCAAAAGCCGCTTTGGCCTCAGCTTCTTGTGTTGATTTACCCAACACCTCGGTAAGTTAAGGAGCTGATTACTTGATCATTGTCCCATATGATTGTTGCGAGATCTGCTTTTCCTTCACACTCACTCTTAACCTGACCATTGTTCAATATTTTTGTTGATGTATCTGCTGCTCCATCTGCATGAAAATAGGCTGCATCACATTCGCCCTTGTAAAAATGAATGTCAGAGCCAAAGTCCTTAAGACCATGGTCATACATTAGATGTTGAACTGTGCAAATTGAGATCCATTCTTCAACGACAGCTATTCGCTCATCAACAAGGTAGTTCAAGAAGAAAACCCAGTGTGCCTCCAGTAAGCCTACCAAATGAACCATCAGGTCATAGGATGAGATAAACCTGGGTTTCTTCTTAGAGTGCGCCTGCAGGTCTGATATCATAAGCCAGTGCGTGCATGTGTCATCAATTTGTGCTTATGTATCAGCATTCTTGATACGAGTTCTGGCCTCACCAACCTGTGATACATTGGTTCCAGAACATCTTTGCTGTACCTCTGGTTTGTCACTTTCAGTGATGCCTTTATCTCAGATTGTAACTGTTGACTGGAGCCATAACCATCAGCGAAATCCTGTGTCTTCACTTCCAAACTGCTGATAAAATTCTTAGCCCTCTTTGAGCATAGGAAATCAGGGGCGGGTGGTTCACGCCCAGTTGAGAAGCAGCGGTGAACCTGCGGTGACTTTGCCAGCTCTTTAGCAGCAGATTCCCATGATGAACTGCTACAAAGCATCTGTTGAATGACACGCCGGTCCTTCAGATTCAAACGAGCAAATCTTGCCAGTGCCCTCATTGTTATTATGCAGATTTTGTATCTGGAAGCTTTGAATCCTTTTCACCTGCAAGTGCATTCCACCCATGTTATTATGTGTACAAGTAAACACATGAAATGCAAGAAAAAAACAACATTCATGCAAATAACTTGAATACAAATAAATTTGGCAGACATTAGCACTGATGCAGCCATTTTCTCATGTGTTCATCAGTACATGCAAACAACATCAAGCAACTGTATAACTGTTTGGGTACTGGAAGAATAGGAACAGCTATACTGTACAACCTGAATGCAACATCTACTCCTGTCTAAGCACAATGAGATCAGAATTTGAGATCAGCACATGCAAACACCTAAGTTTTACATCAGAAGTTGAGATCACAGAAGCAAATACAGATCAACTACTCACTATAACAAAACGATCGATTCTCCAGTGCTAGAACTATCAAATTCAAATCCATCACCAACTACTGTTGGTGCTACTAGTAACCTGTAACCCTATGCACGATGAGATCAGTATATGCAAATACCCAAGTTTTACATCAGAGGTTGGGATCACAAAAGCAAATACAGACCAAATAACAACCCGATTGACTCACCAGTGCTAGAACTATCGAATCCATCACCAAATACTGTTGGTGCTACTAGTAACCCTATGCATCTAATCACAAGCAAAATTGACCAATCCACACCAGTACAACTAGCTGATCGCAACCAAGGCAACGGATCTCGCCTTAACGAGGCCTCCTAGACAAAGCACCAGGGCAACGGGGGACGGGTGAGAGATTACCGAACTATAATCGATAGAGAGGAGATTCGGTTGTCCCGTCGTCTCCGCCGCGGCCTCTGCGCTCGCCGCCGCCGACGACGACGACGTGGAAGATCCGATACCCTCCGCCTCCGCCCCGAGACGAAGAAGTCGAGCGAGGCCGCTCCCGACTTCCCGAGTCACGAGTCCGCCTCACGACTGGCCCGGCTAGTGAGCCTGGTGCGCGGCGCGGCGGACAGTTGTACAAGCGGCCCGTTCGCAGATCGGTTTCCCTGACTGATGCCGGTTCGTTGGAAGAGAATATCATCACGATTGATAAGTCCCGGCTGAAATCGACGAGAGAACAGAAAGGTCACAAGGATCCAACGCACAAGCGAACAGGCTGACACAAGGATCCAACGCTTCCTCAAAACGAGCGGCTGCACTAGCACCGTAGGATGTAAAATCTATGGCTCAGGCCAATGTTTCGAATTTTGAATTTTGGATTCAAATGAACCCATTTCCTTTGTTGTCCTGCTAAATGCAAGAGACTTTTCCCTATGTGTCATTATAAAAGATCGCAATTCCCTATGTGCCTCTGGAAAAATTCAGCGGTCTTCAGCGCCACTACTCCAACTTTTTCGGGTCCTCCATGCCACTTCCGTCAGTTCAGACTCTAACGCCGTCAAACTGCGGGTGTGAAAAGACGAAAATGCCCTTAAGTTCAAATATGTTATTAATTTTTTTAAGCATCTTAACGACTTCAAATGAAAAAACTCAAAACTAAAAAGTTGTAGATCTCGTCGAGATCTATAATTTTCATATAAAAATTATTTTCATTTAATTCTGCAAAAAAAAATGATTTGATATGATTAATATATCTTAGAAAAATCATCATATTTTTTTTGCGGAATTAAATGAAAATAAATTTTATATGAAAATTATAGATCTCGACGAGATCTACAACTTTCTAGTTTTGAGTTTTTTCATTTGAAGTCGTTAAGATGCTCAAAAAAATTAATAACATATTTAAACTGAAGGGCATTTTCGTCTTTTCACACCTACAGTTTGACGGCGTTAGAGCCTGAACTGACTGAAGTGGTATGAAGGAACCGAAAAAATTGGAGTAGTGGCGCTGAAGACCGCTGAATTTTTTCAGGGACACCCAAGAAATTACGATCTTTTATAATGGCACATAAGGAAAAGTCTCTAAATGCAAGGGAGGGCTGAGCCCAGCAGAAAGCTGCCAAAAAAAAAAAGAGCTTGCTTGTTTACTCTAATCGGAATCGGAGTAGCTTATATAATGGATCGAACCGAGAAACGGACACCTCAAATTGTAAGGTAAGCTTATATAATGGCATGTTCGTTGGTCGGTGCTGGTGCAGGTTTAGGCTGGCTGGTACTGGTTTTTTATGAGAGAAAAACACTGTTGACTAGCTGGTTTGGGTTAGCTGAAATCAACAAGCGAACAGGCTGAATGTAGCTCATGGCTTATGTTATCTATACCTATATATATTATATATTATATTATATATATAATATTAAAGTGCTAAAATTTATGTCACTAATAACTTTTTGTCGAGCTTAGGCTATCCGCACTCGTTTACCTCTATTTCCATCTCTAAAAAGGAATATTCTATCCTAGTCATCAAGATTCTCTACTCTATATCCATTTCTCCCGCACCCATGTTATCTCTATCTCATACTCTATACCCACTATTCCATATTTTATTCTCCTCCCTCCCTCTTTCTCTCTCTCCCCAACTCTCTCTCTTATTGTTATAGTGTTTAGCGGGCTGTCTCGCGCGCGCGCTCTGTGGCGGTCTTCTGTGCAGCCGGTACGCTCGCGGGCCGTTTGCAGGCGCGCGGTGCGCACCACGCGCACGCTACCGGTAGCGTACCGACAGCTTTAGCGCTGCCCGGTGCGGACAGCCTTAAGGTCTCCTTTGGCAGCGCTCTCAACCCGCTCCCACAGCCGCTCCCCACTGCTTCATCTCCCTCGCGCTCCCTCCAGCTCTCCACTGCTCCCAGTGCTGTTTGGTGGAGCTCCCTCGACAGCTCCCGCTCCTAACCAGCATCCAGGCAGGGGAGGGCAAGCTGTGGCGGCACAAGGAGGAGGCAAGATCGATGACCTCGACCTCCGCAAGTCCGGTGGCCTCGGCAAGGTTGACGACGACGGCTGGATCTCGGCGAACTCGATGGCGACGGGCTGGATCTGGCGAACTCGCCGCCGACGGACTGGATCTCGGCGAAATCGTTGGCAGTGGGCTAGATCTCGGCGAGCTCCATGATGAAGAGGACCTACCTGGCGGAGTGGTGCGCGGAGACGAGCTCGACGGAGGGGCGCGACGGCGGCGAGGGACGCGAAAGAGCGCTTTCCCCTCGGAGCAGCGCGGAAATGAGCCCTTTGGCAGCGCTTCGCCGATTCTCATGGGAAGCGGAGCCGCAGGAGCGCTGCCGAAGGGGTCCTAATAACCCTAAAGTGGCTCGGTCTCAGCCATCATGGAACCGTATTTTTTTTTTTTTGCGTGGAAGACGTCATCCGCGTGTCCTTCTCTGGTTCCGTTTCTTTTTGTCTTTCTTCGTCAGATGGAAACCCACGTTTGGTTGTGTAGGTGACTTTTTCCTCCTTTTTATCTCCTATTTTTTACAAACAAAAACAATAAATAATAAACATAGTATTATGGGACTTTGAACTATTTATCCTTTTTTATAATAAATAATTATGTACCTATAATAATAATCAATATCTACCTATACCTAATATATATATTTATATCTATATATAATAATAATAAAGAGGCAAAATTTTAGCATTTTTTTCCACCTCTCCTAACCAACTCCATGAATGTTGAAATTGTCTAGGTTCGTGTCTGTCTACCGTCCTCCTATTTTATATGTGACATAATATAAAAGGCTTCCTGAGATAATCTAGATAGCTAGGTGTTCTAATTTTAATCAAATAGAGCTCTAAGAGAGCTCTCAGATCCTGTTTGATATTACGAAACATGTAAGACTTAAGAAACCTGAATAGAAATTCTAATCTAATTCAAATAGAAAAGGATAATCTTATCTTATCTCGTCGTACAGAAGGAAATCGCTCCACTCTCGCCCCGCACGTCGTTTACGGAGTCCGCATCGTCCGCGCGTCAAGGAGGCCGAACGGAAGTGGAGTCCGGAGTCCGCCGCGCGTCAGGGCCCACGTCCTACGGACTCAGGTGCTAAACGAAATCACAAACGAACTCGGGTGCTACCCACCTCGCCGTTTATTCTTTATTTAATCCAATCTACGGTTTCTCAAAAAAAAATTAATCCAATCTACGGAAGCTGTACTGACCGACGATTATCAGAGCTGCTGTTGTTTCGTCGTGGTACCTGCACCAAGAATCGAAGTTGTAGCTGCCCACGAATCGAAGGTTGAGCTGCGTGCGGAGAAGGGCAAGAGTTCACGTGGAATCTAAGTTAGTGAATTTTGCTAAGCGCATACAAAAAGCTACCAAGAGTTGAGTGGCTATTTGCTGGACATACATGAAATTGTTTCACGTGCTTTCATCAACTACAGCGTTTCATCCAGGTACTGTATTTTCTGTATTTTGCTAAATATGTTTACCTTAAAGTAGTTTTCCATTTGGCTTAGCTTCGCCATGACCGTACAAGGCACAGGCAGAGTGTCCCTAATGTCGGGTGTACCTGAACCAGTGTTCTAGCATGGCCAGTTATATGTAGCGCTATCAAGAGTAACAGCAAGATCGAACATTAAGATCTTGACCGTGCCGGTTATTGAGAGGGACATGAATAAGGGGAAGGGGAAAAAGAAACTAGCAAATGATATATTCACGAACAATATCGTCTATAAAAAGGTTCTAACTCCATAAAATAGGTAATTTCTCTCGATAATACATATTTTTCTCCATATAGTCAACAGTACTCTATCTTTAAATTTTAATAAAAAGTTTATATGCAAGATGCTACCAACACAACTAGGAGAATTGTAAGGACTGACTGTTGGTGCTTGCCGAGACAATAATCTTAGGATACTATTAAGGTGTGACATTTAGGTGTGTCGAAGGATATAATTAGAACATAATTGCTCCTCTTACTTCTAGCCATGCATAAAATTAAATTTGTAATATTGACGATTCAAACATCATGTTCGAAAATTATTCTTCTGGTGACAACATACGATCATACTTAAACTATCGTACCATTATTATTTACCCGTGCAACGCACGAGCATTTATCTAGGATCATGCCCGTGCGTTGTAACGGG